CACAAGAAAAAATATTATCAGACATACTGTAAAAATTTCCTTGCTCTGTTAAATATCATTTGGGAAATATTTAATAAAGAAATAAAATTCAAAGGGGCTAATAATTCTGACTTTAACTGTGTGTGTGTGTGTGTATATATATGTATATATATATATATATATGCATGTATATGTAAACCAGAATCAAATGTTTTAAGTTCTTTACAAGTATAAGTCATTTGTTTGAAATATAAAACCGTAATGAACCATTTTCTGTAGAAAATGTGACTTTCAATATCTTTTTTTTTTTTTTTTTACCACATTTCAACCTTTTTCAAATAAATTATTAGTCACTTTGTTACTGTCAAACAAGCTAAACCCTTACACCCCATTGCTTTTAAAAAGTAATAGTGTGCTTCTCATCAACAGGCTGCACAGTTTGAGTTATCATTAATTATTATTGTTAAAAATGCAAGAGCAGGTAATTAAAATAGTTTACACCCGAAAAGTACCATTAAAGAAAGTGAGAGTGACTGAAACTGACAGACTATGGCAGATTAATTCACTGACAGCTTTATTTCGCACGTCTCGTCCATCTTCTTTTCCAGGACAGTTGACAAGCAGAAAGACGTTTTTACACAGACGCTCACTGAACACCTCAGAAGATTTCAATCAGGTAATTACCTCTGAAACATGCGGTAATAACCCAGGCCTGTGTTTCAGCCAAATTGGTGTAATCAACGACTCATCTTGAAGGTGTTTTCTTTTCTAATGCTCCCATCAAAAGCAGTTTGATTCATGCATTGTATCAATTTGGGATGTTTTTACCTAATTGTGTGTATTATATTAAGATGGAAAAAACTCATCTGTGATTATATTAATCCACGGATATTCACTTGCTCCTGTCAGACAAGCTAGTTCATCCAAAAATGGAAATATTTTCATTTATTCCATCAAGAGAGAAAGGATCTTAACAATGTACAGGTTGCACTTTTTCCTAAAAGCATTTTAGAAGCGTCATTAGAATGGCTTGAGCAATGTTATAATAATAGTTTTATGAATAAAAATATTGAAATGTAAGTTATTATTTATTTAAAATGCTGTTTGAGGTTAGTTTTTTTTAATAAATCAATTGATCCTTTTCATAAAGCAGGTCTGAAAGACTCCTTCACATACAATGACATAAGGTCGAGTCTATTTAATGACAGAATTTTCTTTTTTGGGGGGAACGATTTCTATAATCTGAAGACTTTCCCTGGTCAAAGGAGGTTAAAAATGAGTTCACGAAGTCTGGGACTGAATCAGTCTAAATGTTAATGCACTTGAATAGATTTACTGGACTGTGACTCTCTCATGCGTGCTCTACAGATCAATTTGTTTGTGTTTTCTGTTGTTTTATAGATAGTTATTTTTTTAACGTGTCATAATGATAGGTCTGTCCCATCCTGTGATGATCAGCAACAAATTATGGCTACATTCATCCCTAATTGGCACTTTTTCTGTCAACCGCAAGGACATGCACTCAAGACTAAGTGGTGCTCCATAAACGGCCTTGTTAAAACTCAGTTCTTTTCATTATGCTAGGTAGTGCTAGATTGAAAAAAACAAAAGTTACTAAAAAGCCTTTTCCTGGCTGTCTAAATTAGTTTTAGGGTGCCTTTAATTTGCAATGACGATGGCAATGTTGTGAAAATCTGTTTTAAAAACTGCATTTCACATTCAAGGCCAGTAGATGGCGATATTACTATTTAAAAAAAATACACAAAAAAAACACAACATGCCTGCTCACACACAGGCTACATCCGAAAGCGCATACTACTCAGTAGGTACTGCATTAAAATTTTTACTTACTACTCGACTAGAGAGAACAGTATGTTCTATACAGTATGAATGCGAGCAGTATGAATGAAACTCGAACGTACCACATCCACCACTTTGTCATGACCACGTGACCTACCCGCGTCAGTTGTGTTGCTTCACTCTCAATCATGAAATCTCTCGCGGGGTAGCATAGCGTCCATTCGATGCGCACTTCAGAATCTCGCTGGATGTAGTTGTCACGGTTGCAGGTTTGTGCGCTTCTCCGGAGTGTATGTTTGATCACGTGGGTTTGTTTTGTTTTGGTTGTCCATGTGGATTTGTTATGCTCACGTGTTATGACGACACTCAATTGGTCTGATTAGTTCGCCAGCTGAGGCTCATCAAGGTGCCTATATCTGGGCGACGCTTTTGTGTGTCTGTGTCAGTTCGTTACTATCACTCATGTTTGTGCTGTCTTTGCTCAGGCCCTGAGGAGTTTATCTGGATCCGTTTTCCTCATTCTGTTCCTGCCCTGTGTTCTGCGTCCCTCTAGCCTGGCACTATTTGATTTAATTGTCAATACAATAAACATTGTTCACTTGCACTTGGATCCTCTCTGACTCTTATTTGAACGTAACAGTAGTAGGTCATCCGTGTACATCTCGCATACTGATCTTCAAATTCTGTGAACTAGGACATACTACTCGGCTTGCATACTTTTTTTAAACGAACTATATAGTATGGAAGTATGCGATTTCGGATGGTATGGTCAGAATTTGGCATCAACAACATGAGAGCATGGATCCATCCTGCCTTGTGTCAACGGTTCAAGCTGCTGGTGTAATGGTGTGGGGGATATTTTCTTGGCACACTTTGGGCCCATTAGTACCAATTGAGCATCGTGTCAACACCCTAGCCTACCTGAGTATTGTTGCTGACCATGTCCATCCTTTTATGATAGGTGAATTTAAGAAACTTAATTGGCCGTAGTGTGTATGAGTGTGTGTGTATGGGTGTTTTCAAGTATTGGGTTGCGGATGGAAGGGCATCCGCTGTCTAAAACATATGCTGGAATAGTTGGCGGTACATTCCACTGTGGCGACCTTTGAAATAAAGACTAAGCCGAAGGAAAATTAATGAATAATCACTATAATAGAGAGGGTGTAGGGGGCAGTTTTGGATACAGCATAGTTTTAAATAGACAAGTTGTGTAAAGGAGGTGAAGAATCTTGGGATTGCGGGGGTCAGCTGTGAGATCGTGACATGAAACGAGGCGGTCTACAATCTGAAAATCCTCTATTGTTTATTGTTGCAAAACAGGCCGTTTACAGTGTGATTTATGTAACGTGTAGGTGTTTAAATATGGAGGACAAAGCAGTGGTCTATTTCTAGCTGGGGGGTTCAGTTAACCGTTCCTACTACTGAATGAGAGGGACAGATGAGGATGCTGATCGTTTGAGAATCGTGAAATGTAATTTCTCTGTGAAGAAATGCTGGAGTGTGTAGGAGGATGGTTTGCAGAGATTGTGTAATGTTCATTACAGCTCTTTGGAGAAAGCTAACAACATCTACTCTACAGTGAAACAAAAGTTTTGCGATTGTAATCTAACCTAATTTAAGGCTTTGCTGCCATGACAACCTGTGGAACAGGGTGTTCTGTTTCGCTACCACATATGATTGTGGTTTCATGGCTTCCTTCCCTTGTTTTCAGACTTGCGTTTGTAGTGCTGTACGTCACTGCATGCAAGCATGTCATTTTAGAGAAGTGTAAACCAGGCGAGAATATTGACAGACATAATCAAGAGATCATTATTTTTTTTAGAAACTGCTGAAAGCAACACTCTTTGCACTCTTTCCTTTTAACAAAATAAACACACAAAAACAACAGCAGTGAGAACACTTCAATAAATATATTTATATATGTGAGATTAGATTAAATTAAGAACAGTTTTGAGTGGGCACTGTGGGTACTGAACCGGGTACTGTTTACTGTGGTGTTAGTTATAACTATAAATCGTGTTTAGGGCAGCCGCTGCGATCGCACACATGCCCTCTGACTACTTCAATATTGTTGATAAGCGGTGCTGGGCATTTCATTCTGTCTTGCACTGAACACGGTCGACCATTGAATCGCTGAACAATTCATATGGGGGTTGCTAGGCTAATTAGGTAAAAATAAATGCATATTATAAGACAATGAAAGTGTTTTTTGACCTTGCATGCATATCAGCCTGTTGTTGGAGACCCTTAAAACCAAATTATGACCCTTTTTATTGTATAATAGGGGCTCTTTAAAAAAAAAAAAAGGTACAAAAAAAATGGGGTTTCACATTTTTCATAGTGTGAAGAACATCATCAAAACTTTTATCTACTTAAAAAAAATAACTTTTGTGAAATTAAAAAGTTTCATTTACCCTAAACTTTTTCATCCCATTAATTGTAGGCATACAATTAATGCACAAACACCTCACATACACTTGAAGTCAGAATTATTAGCCCCCTTCACATTTTTTTTCTTCTTTTTTAAAATATTTTCCAAATGATGTTTAACAGAGCAAGGAAATTTTCACAGTATGTCTGATATTATTTTCTTCTTCTGGAAAAGGCTTATTTATTTTATTTAGGCTAGAATGAAAACCTTTTAAAATCTTTTAGATTATTTAAACACCATTTTAGGGACAAAATTATTAGCCCCTTTAAGCTAATTTTTTCTCGATAGTCTACAGAACAAACCATCATTATACAATAACTTGCCTAATTACCCTAACCTGCATAGTTAACCTAATTAATCTAGTTAAGCCTTTAAATGTCACTTTAAGCTGTATAGAAGTGTCTTGAAAAATATGTAGTAAAATATTATTTACAGTCATCATGGGAAAGATTAAAAAAATCAGTTATTAGAAATAAGTAATTAAAACTATTATGTTTAGAAATGTGTTGAAAAAAAATCTTCTCTCCGCTAAACAGAAATTGGGGAAAAAATAAACAAGCGGCCTAATAGTTCAGGGGGGCTAATAATTCTGACTTCAACTGTAAACTCCAATCAAATGTATAATCACACTGAAAGATGAGCACCAAAAAATAAACTGTCGCCTACTATAATTCTTGCATCACTCACAAACAAATACAGCTTTCATTCTGATCTAGACACAAACGCCGTTCAGACAAAGAGTTACAGTGCTGATACACACACACACAATGTGCATGAGGCTGGCATTAACGCAGTTTGAATTGCAGACAAAAGCCGATGAAAGGGGCATAAAGAGGACTGGCAGATGTGGACAGAACGTGGGGCCTCCAAACCAGAAGAGGAAGTTGAACAAGGGCGTGAACACAACTCCATTTTTCTCTCCGCTACGAGGAACCGGTAGATGCTGCGCTCTATGAACTGATGTGATACCAGAGTCTAAAATGAACACCAAGGTAAGTCTGAATATCTGAATACACACTTGTTGAGTATTTCCTGCAGTACAGATGCTGAAAGGAAACCACAATAGTGTTTTAGAGAGGGAAAGAGATGTAGGCTAGCAATATGTTTAGCCACACGTGGTTCAAACATGTGGGGTCATTGTGGAGCAGCCGAACCGTTTATCTGATCCATCGATCATGAAAGACCCAGAGGACGATGTGTCTTTAGAAACAGGTAAACACACTCACTCACCTGGAGAAAAAAAGATGAAGTACACAGCCAGAGTTCGATTCACGCTCGCCCTCACATAGATCAAAGTGGCTACTACTAATGAAAAAGGTCCGAGAGGCCGTGGAATAGAAGATTGGGGGTTATGGAAAGGGATGGGCAAATGTGTGGAAATTATTTATTTAGTTATTGCTGTTGTGAAAGTTTACATTAGATGGGTTTCAGAAATCAACAAAAAGGTGGCTGGGTGTGTTTCATTCAGATATTTCTGGTTTAAATTATTTTTTTATGTATTGTTTTTTATTTTTTCACTTTAAATTAATACTAGATGTTATGTTATTGTATTTATGCCTAATTTAAGTTACAATTATGTACTTTAATAAGATTTTTAATTAAATTCAACTTATTTTTCCTTTAGCATTTTGCTATTTGTGAGATTTTTTTGTTTAAAAAGTTCTATATATTTTATTTATGAATTAATTTTCTATTTAGCTTATTATATTTGTTATGTTTATCTAGGTTTTTATTAATTTAGATCTAATAATTCATTGGCATCTAGCTGAAATAAAAAAAAGGTGATTAATATTAGTTTTCATATATTCATTATTATTTGATTTAAAGTTTTAGAACTGCATCTAATGTCTTTATGCTTAATTTAAGTTAAAATTTTGTACATTAATTAAATTTAATTTACTTTTACTGTATAATGTTTCTATTTGTATGGTCTTTTTTGTTTAAAAATATATGTATAGTTTATTAATTAATTATATTTTTATTTAGTTTATTAATTTTTTCATTCATATTTAGGTTTTTATTATTTTAGCTCTAATAATTTATTTCATTTCCATTTGATTTAAAGTTTTAGAACTGCATTTAATGTCCTTATGGTTATTTTCAGTTTAAATTATGTACTTTCTATTGAATTTACATTTCTCATTTTTTGTTTTAAAAGTTCTATCTATTTTATTTTCATTCAAATTAATTTATTATTTATTATTATAAATTAATAAAGTAAATATTATTATTATTATTATTAGTTTATTTTATTTGATTAATTTTATTACTTTTAATAAATGTTATTATTTAGTTTATTAATTTTCTCATTTTTTATTTTAATTTTTTTTTAGATTTTTATTATTTTAGCTCCAATAATTCATTGGCATCTACTGTAGATGAATAAAATATGATGATTAATATTAGTTTTCATACAGTATTTTCATTTGATTTAAGTTTTAGAACTGCATCTAATGTCTTTATGGCTAATTTAAGTTAAAATGTTGTACATTCATTAAATTTAATTAACATTTTATTTATATTTTTTCTATTTGTGAGGTCTTTTTTGTTTAAAACAAATCCATATATTTTATTTAATATATATTTTTAAATGTTGTTTATTAATTATTATTATTTTATTTGTATAAGTTTTTAATTTTTTATCTCTAATAATTCATTGGCATCTAAATGAAATAAAATAAGATGCTTAATATTAGTTAGTTTTCAGATTTTCTGTTTTCATTTGATTTGATGTTTTAGAACTGCGTCTAATACCAAATTATCCCCAAAATTCCCAAAACCAAAAAATCCACAAACTTCACAATATCAAAATATCATATTATAATTCACCCCAAAATCTGAAAAAAAGAAGTTATTTTTAGAAAATGAATCCTCGTGTCATTTGTCTTGCAAAATATAAATAGATTGGGATTCTTTTTTTGGTAAGCTTTACCCAGTATCAGCTTATAAAGTTGCATTCGGTCTTATACTAGCAGAATATTTAATGGCATGTTCTATAAAGCTGTTGTTGTTGCCAGTTTGCAGACTCTAATGGATGGATCCATTGAGACACTGAATTATGTTCATACTCCGCTTTCACTCCATTAAGTAACATTACTTTATGGCTCAGAGACATTGCTGTATTAAAAGGTGTTATATAAGATCTAAACGTCTGGCTTGATCTAACCTCTCGACTCTAAACGCCAACTTAAAATGAATGTTCAGCCAAACACATGGCAGCAGTTTACACTTTACAGGAATTACAGTAGGTTCCTCAGCTCTTCTTATTTGTAAAAACTGAGATATTTACAATACTGTTTTACTCATTTGTTCAGGAAATGTTTAGCCTTGAGCTTTGACATTAAAAATTAATCATCTTGGACTTGTAAACAGTCATTACATCTGTCAATAAATTGAATTAAAGTTAATTGAGACCAAAAAAAATTTTTACTTTTAGTATGCAAAGGCATCATGCAGCTTCGAAATATGAGCAGAAGTTGTTGCTTTCATGAAAACAGAAACATTGTACATTGCTGGAGTATTATGAAATCAGGCCAGACAAAATGAAGAACCATTCAAACAGTGTGAACACCCATGTGCAAATAATAATATCTGGAAAGGGAAAAAGTAATATTTGCATTGGTTTTTACTGATTACATGTTATTTTCAATTCTGCATTGTGTGTATTGTGTATTGTGGAGTTGTGTTTGCTAAACAAAAGCGTACACAAAAATACTTTTACATACAGAGAATGAAATATCAGAATATATGGATTAGAAAAAAGTGACTAAAAGTGGTGTATTATACATGCCAGGCCAGTAGTTGGCGATGTCAGCTTGTAAAAAAAACGACAATAAAGAGGCTTTAACTGTATCTTTTAATAGTTTAACGTGTATATTGCAAAATTTGCTGTATATGTATGTAATTATTTAACAGATACATGTAGACTACTGAATATCAGTGTTTAATGCACATTTATGCATGGTGTCATATTACTTAGCTCTTATCCTATTCACACAGGGAGTCAGTGTCAATGATTCCTATTTACTTTGAATGGATGACGTCGAGCATGGCCGAACTGAATTGTGGATCTGTCGGCAATGCTTCAGCAGCGTTGCTCACAGCAGAAGTTAGACGTTTCTCAACTTTTCAAGTGCCAACGGAAGCATCAGCCAAACATGACAGCTGCTATGATGATCGTGTCAGCCTCAAAACACGCCCTCCATCAAGAGTTGATGCTGAAGCCCTGTGAGAATTGCGTGTTACTCTCATTTTTCTAGAGTAAAGGAATATGTCTGTGTTTCTGTCCTCTTTGTTGGCTATAATTTAGCCTGAAATTTATTTATTTATTTTGTTTTACTTTGTTTTTTAAAAAGTTTTACATGCAGTGAATGAAATGTAAGAATATATGGATTCTAAAAAATGACTAAATGGGCTGTATTATTCATGCCAGGCCAGTAGCTGGTGACGTTAGCTTGTAAAACAACAACAAACGCTTCACCTATTAAAGAAGCAAATCTTAAATTGATTTGGGATTTTTACGCTATCTTAAAAAAGATCTTATATTTTATTAGGAAATCTTAAAATTGTGTCATTAAGTTTGAAAATCTGCTTTTAGGTCTGTTAGCAAGCAACCACAAGCTGCTAATAGGTTAGCATAAACAAAAGGATAAAACAGGCAAGCTTTAATTTTAGTATTGTGGAAATGTAAATACTGATCACTTTGGTAAAGAAGGCTAAGCCAACTCTATTTGTTAAGTTATCAAGCGTTATTTGCTGAAATGCTGTGTATAACAATGTAATATAATAATTTAATACTGCTAACTGTAATGGCATGTTGTGCAGCAGTCTATAATTAGCTTTTTAGTGTTTTGTCATTGAAACTGAACACATCTTCAGGGTCCTCTAAAGACCTTCTACCTTTAAATATCTTTGCTCTTCATTAAATGTAATGTCATTGTTAAACATTGCCTTTCTACACATTTTTTATTATATTCATATATTTTTATCTTTCAAATAATTGTAAAAGCTGTTGTGTTTTTAAAGTTACGACATTTTTTTTTTTTTAAGAATTTTTTTTTCTCTCCAGTCAGGATGTTTCTGTAATACAACCTTCCTATCTGTACTTAAGTTAAGAACTCAGACTTAGGAAATGCTATTCAGTAATTGGGTTTTGTCCTAAATGTGGTGCTAAGTGTATTTAGCATGGTTGCCAAACAGATAGGATAAGATTTTAAAGTTAGGGTCTTTCTGTAATACACACAGAGTAGTCAACAATTGTAGCTTTGACACAAAAACAGCATTTTATTCTTTAAAAGTTTTTAAATATTTGCATTTTTAAACCCTTAAAATGTAATTAACTAAGATTAAGTTTCACTCAACAACCAATTTGTCTGTTAAACTTTGAGCTTACCAGACATTCAGGGCTCTATTTTAACAATCTTGGCGCAAAGTCTAAATCGCAGGGCATGTCCGAGTCCACTTTTACTATTTTAAGAAACGGAAAAATCCACTTTGCGCCGTGGTGCATGGTCTAACAGGGTTGAGCTTATTCTCTTAATGAGTTATAGGTGTGTTTTGAGAATAAACAGAGTTTTATCTCCTATTCTCTTTAAGAGTCAGTTGTGTCGCGTCATAGAGCATTTGCAATTTACATGATGGTCTTTTTTAAGTGGAAAAACTGAGCATTTAACTAGCAAGAAAACAGTTAAACAGAGCGTCTGCAGCGCGCGAATGAGAGATGAGCCTCCTCATTTTTTTCTTTCCCTTTCACTCTCTTTTGTGGAAATGTGCTGTACGCAAAGACATCCAGTCGCCTGTACATAATTAATTTTGTTTGTTAAGCATAAAGATTTGTTTCAAAATTATTTCTAAATTTAGTTCTAATTTCCAGCAATCAAATAAATAAACAATATTAATGAAGAGTGTAAAAAAAAACTGAGTTATATCCAAATACACATGCTGCGCCCCATATGGTCTGAAACCTGACAGGTGGGCAAATCTAAGCTTGTTTTTAATAAAACAAATATAAATATGCATATAATAAATAATACTGCTAATAATAACAACATTATACAAAAGCAAATTGTTATGAATAAACTAAAAAAGCCTTCAGAGATAAAGAAGGTATGTTTTTTATATTTATGTAGAAAATAATATTTTTGCAATATTTTAATCCTTTAATTCTTTTTAATTTGTAAAAATATTTGTGTATTGCTGCACATCCTGCAGTATTGTATTAATTCATGTTTAAGCAAGGTCCACAACTGACGCGCTCTGCGCTGGACTTTAGACCTCCTCTAGCTGGTCTATTGAGCAGTGTATTTCTCAAAATAGCAACGCGCCAGCAATGTGCCTTAACACGCCTCCATTTTTAGACCAGAACATCTATAGGGGCACATATGAGCGCAAATGCATTTCCTATTTAAACAGCGTGGTGCAAAACGTCAAAACAACTCTTGCGTCAAGCTGAAATTAGTAAACACCATTTGTGTCACACCTTGCACCGCATTGCGCTGGGTGCATGATAGGGCCTTCACACTTTATAAAATAATTATTTTGCCTTTTTTTACATTATACACAATATATGACTGCCATGTCACGAATAGCATAACTTATCATTTTTTCATCATCATTTCTAATATGTACAGATGCAATTAGAATTATTAAACCCCCTGAATTATTAGCCCCCTGTTTATTTTTTCCCCAATTTCTGTTTAATGGAGAGAAGATTTTTTTCAACACATTTCTAAACATAATAGTTTTAATAACTCATTTCTAATCACTGATTTATTTTATCTTTGCCATGATGACAGTAAATAATATTTTACTAGATATTTTTCAAGACACTATACAGCTTAAAGTGACATTTAAAGGATTAACTAGGTTAATTAGGTTAACTAGGCAGGTTATGGGTAATTAGATGAGTTATTGTATAACGATGGTTTGTTCTGTAGATTATTTATATATATATATATATATATATATATATATATATATATATATATATATATATATATATATATATATAGCTTAAAGGGGCTGATAATATTGACCTTAAATGGTGTTTAAAAAAATAAAAAATGATTTTATTCTAGCCGAAATAAAACAAATAAGACTTTATCCAGAAGAAAAATTATTATCAGACATACTTTGAAAATTTCCTTGCTCTGTCAAACATCGTTCAAAAAAAAATCAAAAGAGGTTTAATAATTCTGATTGCACCTGTATGCAAACTTTTCTATATAAATATATTGGAAACCAATTATAACCAGTGACGCATCTTACCCTGGTCTCCCTGATACTCTGTTATGATTGTTTTGTGGCAATTGTTTAAAGCAGTGAGTTTCAGGTCTGTGGCTGATTGTTCTCCACTTGCACAGATCTGTGGTGTTTTTGTTCCTGCAGTTGTAGGTTTGTGCCAATGGAGAGTTTGGTGACTGTAATGGCGGCCTGTCATCTGATGTGTCATAATCTAGTGTTTGTGTTATGGTTTGCTCGTGTCACTGTTGCTAAGTAACCCCTCCCCCCCTCAGAAACTCTTCCATTGTTTGACGTTTATGGATCAAAAGACACAAATTTCTAAAACAAACAACATCTCAGAATTGATTGGCTAATGATAGCGTTGGGGAAATGTCAAGACCTTTATCTCAAATGCTCTCATTAGATGGGTAGAATGTTTACGACGGCATGAGGGAGCCGTAAAGCATCATGACATATCATGTGGTTGAACACAGAATGTGCGGCTGCTACATATTTAACATGAAATCTAAAATGACCATATGTACCCTGTATTTGCTCAAGTTTTTTTTGTTTTTTTTTGTGCACACTACTTTTTAGTTTACTTCGATACGATCATTAGAAAAGTACGTTCTATATGAATTGTGTTAATACAATTTGGATGTACTACATTCATCATTATCACATGACCTACGCGTGACATTGTGGGTCTTCACTCCCATTCATACATTTACTGTGGCCTTGTGGAAAAGTCTCCATTGGATGTGCAATTCAGAATCTGGTTGGAAGTAGAAGGTCAGGGTGCCCAAACTCGGTCCTGGAGGGCCGGTGTCCTGCATAGTTTGGCTCCAATTTCCTTCCTACTTCTACACTCTCCGAAATAAAGGTACGCGAGCTGTCTCTGGAGTGGGTACACATTTGTACTTAAAAGGGTCCATATTGGTACCTCAAAAGTATATATTAGTACCTGCAAATTTTAAGAGGAACACTTTTGTACTTTTTATGTACAAATTTGTACCTTTCGTAAAGGTACCACCCCACTGACAGCTCGCGTACCTTAATTTCTGAGAGTGTAGTATGCCTAAGAGCTTGATTAGCTGGTTCAGGTGTGTTTAATTGGGGTTGGAACTAAAATATGCAGGACACCGGCCCTCCAGGACTGAGTTTGGGCACCCCAATAGTAGGTCATCCGGATATTTTGGGCCTACTGTTTATGCAAGACTATGAATACGAATGCAAACTAGGGGCTCTTTAAGTAAAATGTGATCACATTGATTTAAAATTTTAATAGAACAGAATAGAATAGAATAGAATAGAATAGAATAGAATAGAATAGAATAGAATAGAATAGAACAGAACAGAAGAATAGAATAGAATAGAATAAAATAGAAAGGAATGGAATGGAGTGGAATAGAATAGAACAGAACAGAAGAGAACATAAGAGAAGAATAGAATAGAACAGAATAATAGAATAGAACAATAGAATATAATAGAACAATAGAACAGAACACAATAGAAGAGAAAAATAGAGTAGAATAGAATAAAACAGAAGAGAGCAATAGAATAGAATAGAATAGAATAGAATAGAATAGAATAGAATAGAATAGAATAGAATAGAATAGAATAGAGCAGTACAGAATAGAAGAGAACAATAGAGCCGAATAGAATAGGACAGAAGAGAACAATAGAATAGAACAGAATAATAGAATAGAATAGATTCCAATACAATACAATACAATACAATGAAAGAGAACAATAGAGTACAATAGAATAGAACAGAATAGAATAGAATAGAATAGAATAGAATAGAATAGATTCCAATACAATACAATACAATAAAATGAAAGAGAACAATAGAGCAGAATGGAATACAATAGAGTAGAACAGAAGAATAGAGCAGAATAGAATACAATAGAATAGAACAGAAGATAACAATAGAATAGAATAGAATAGAATAGAATAGAGCAGTACAGAATAGAAGAGAACAATAGAGCCGAATAGAATAGGACAGAAGAGAACAATAGAATAGAACAGAAGAATAGAATAGAATAGATTCCAATACAATACAATACAATACAATACAATGAAAGAGAACAATAGAGTACAATAGAATAGAACAGAATAGAATAGAATAGATTCCAATACAATACAATACAATACAATGAAAGAGAACAATAGAGCAGAATGGAATACAATAGAGTAGAACAGAAGAATAGAGCAGAATAGAATACAATAGAATAGAACAGAAGATAACAATAGAATAGAATAGAATAGAATAGAATAGAATAGAATAGAATAGAATAGAATAGAATAGAATAGAATAGAATGCTGAAGTACCAGCAGAGCTTTGTTAAAAAAAGTAATTTCACATTGCAAAAAGATGTGTTTTCTAAATCTAACCTGTTTGTGTTTGTGGGCGTTTTCTCTTTTTCAGATCATGTTACGAAGGGCGTCTCTTTTTCTGCTGCTTGTCTTCAGAAGTGAGTTATCACTGCTCTGCTCCTCATTCTCACACACACACACACAGACACACAGACCATCGTTACACTATACGCTAAACATTTGTCAACATAATCTGATAAAGTCTATTTTTTAATAAAATCCTACATTACCCGAAACCACGAATGACCAGCGGGGTCTAATATGTGTGATTTTTATTTTTTTAGATACTTCCAATAAAAGATTGATTATAGCCGTTCTGCAATAATCACAGTGTTTGCCAGTAGAATTGTTCGGTCTCATGTGGCCATTCATCTTGTGAAGGGATTCATTGGAAAAACTGTGCGTAGCCGGAAAATGCATACAAAAATGCTCTTCTAGACCACAATTAGTCCTTGTTCTGTGGCAGGGTCTATGAGAGGCTTGCCTTCATTACAAACCACTGCGCTCTACATCACCACACTGTTATTATGCCAGACTCAGAATACATTTGCATTCATCTGCTGCTGTGTGAGAGTGTGAGTGAGTGTGTGTGTGTGTGTGTGTGTGTGTGTGTGTGTGTGTGTGTGTGTGTGTGTGTGTGTGTGTGTGTGTGTGTGTGTGTGTGTGTGTGTGTGTGTGTGTGTGTGTGTGTGTAATCTTGAACTCTGAAGCTGGCCGGGATCATTGTGCTGAATGTGTTCTTCAAACACGCGTAAGTCATGATGGTGTCAGATGGAGAATGTTGGTCAAAATTCCTCAGATCGTCTTGTAACGATCTCAGATATTTATCTCCACAACTTTAATGAGAACATACAGTAAGTGATTGGACCGAAGGCAACCAATCACATTCTCACTCACTGCTTCTCACAGGTTGTAATTTGTGTTTGAATGGCGTATACTGTATATGTAAATTTATTGAAAAATTGATTGCTGCATGCATTTTAATTATATTATATTATATTATATTATATTATATTATATTATATTATATTATATTATATTATATTATATTATATTAACAGAACCTTACTTTTGGGTGAATTTAAATATATTTTAAGTCAAATTATATATGTGTGTGTGTGTGTGTGTGTGTGTGTGTGTGTGTGTGTGTGTGTATTTAATTATTTAATTAAAATATTTCTAAGCATAAATATTTACTTAGTTATGTTTAATTTTTATCCAAAATATAAATATGTTTGTTTTCATGAATGTTTAATGATGTTTCATAAAAAAATTTAAAAAAATGTTACAACTGTTGTAATTCTTGGTAACTAACCGACACATTACCTAATATTTAATGCAAATGATCAAAACCATAATGAAATAAAATAAAATTTATTATTTAGATATAATATAATATAATATAATATAATATAGGGCGGCGAGGCAGTGGCGCAGTAGGTAGTGCTGTTGCCTCACAGCAAGAAGGTCGCTGGGTCGCTGGTTCGAACCTTGGCTCAGTTGACGTTTCTGTGTGAAGGTTGCATGTTCTCCCTGCCTTCGCGTGGGTTTCCTCCGGGTGCTCCGGTTTCCCCCACAGTCCAAAGACATGTGGTACAGGAGAATTGGGTAGGCTAAATTGTCCATAGTGTATGAGTGTGTGTGTGTGAATGTGTGTGTGTATGTTTCCCAGAGATGGGTTGCAGCTGGAAAAAACTGCGTAAAAAACTAGCTGGATAGGTTGGCGGTTCGTTCCACTGTGGCGACCCCGGATTAATAAAGGGACTAAGCCGACAAGAAAATGAATGAATCAATAATATAATATAATATAATATAGACATGTTGCATCTCTCTTCTTACTCATTTATATAATTTCATGCTTTTATAATTTCAGAATATATTGATTTTAGTTTTCGTTATTATCTTTTTTAAGTGGCGTCAATATTTATATTGATGCAAACTGTATTTCTCACTGTAGCTTTGTAATAAATAAATGATACCGTGAGGGAGTTCTTCCGTGCAATAGGTTTCCATCCATTGTCCATTTTAAGTGGTTGTTTGCTTATGCCATTTTCTGGTAATGGTCTTTTTATGCGCTATAAATAATATTATAAGATACCCATCAGCCTTCCCAGTATTATTTGAAATGTTGCCAAGGCACATTGTTGAAAGTTCCCTGGGGAAATCAATATCCCAAGATCTTGAACGGTATCCCAGAAAACGTACTTTCCGGCAACTCCAAAATATATGAGAGTATGATCAGCATCCAAATGACCACAGATATAGATTACCGCTTACTCTTTATTACTTAAAAGGGAAACACAAGACTTCTTCACCCAAACTCTTTCCACTTGGAATGATAATTATTGTGAAAAGCGCTATGCAAGTAAGCTTGAACTGAATTGAATTATCATTAGTAGATTATGTGTTTTCCTAACCAAAAAAGTGTATGTTTTTCTGTTTATAAAGCTTATGCAGCTGAAAACATGACAGAAACAGAGACTTCACCACCACCACCACCGGAAAGCTCCACATTTAACACAGATCCACCCATGAAAAAGAATCTTGGTAGGATTTTTATTTATCCTCATTGCCTGTTATGTTTTATAGAGTTGTTAGGTTGTGTTTTATGCATTTAATCTATACTTGTTTGCAATTTGTTTGCTATTTTAAATCAAAGTATTTCCAATAAAGCTAAACTGAGTTGCAGATCCAGTACAAAATGTGTAACGACAGTCCCATTTACCTTGATAGCGTAATTTGTAAAGTTTGATCTGTTGAGGAATTGATTTCTGGTGGCATAATAGACTGGTGCTATTTGTTCTGGCTTCTATCTACATCTCATATCCCAAATGCAGTGCAATTCAATCATAAAACGGTTCACATTGTTCCTCCAGATAACCAGACAGGTGTCACAATGAGCCCAGAGCTTCAGCAGTTTAACCTCTCTAAACCTACCGTGGTCAGAAGCATCTCTACAGATGCCCCGATGACCATTCCTGTGACCTCCAGCAAGACGTCCACCACTCAGCGTAAGCTTTGGTTCTCTTGTATGTATAGGAAAAAAAAACTGTGTGTGAGCTGGGTAGTGTGTTTAAAGTCAGAGAACTCTGAAAAAGTGTGTGAGACAAGTAAAAAAGTTTGAATTCATAGGATTAATAATACAGTAGATGAAAAATCGTTTGTGAGATTTTAGTGTGGGATAACACGGTGTCACAAGCCATTGAAATGAATGGGTTTTAACACATTGTTTTCTGCGTCTGATATGAAGGCTGCTTTACATTACACAGTGAATACAGCTGTAGGGAGAGTGAAACCAGCTCACTGAACACTGTTACACAGTACTGTGCAGCATAGATTTTTTTCGATGCAAATATCTGGCCATTTTTCTTTTTTAGACAAAAAAAAATCATTTTCGGCTGCCAAAAATCTGATGCATCTATTTTAAAAAAGTAGGTGAAAATTATCATTGTCTATGAACATGAAATACTTTTGCACATCAAACTGGAAAGATATCAAAGGATCTCTATTTTTTACCAAACAATATGTGATTTCTGTCATAGGTTGACCTGGACTGAAGTATAACTTTGGTAAAAACAAAAGGACTTTGAGTGTTTGGTCCTGCTTACACTAGTGCGTTTTAGTTTTAAAACTGCGTTTTAGAATGAAAACAATCCGCATCCACACTAGTGTTTCACCCAGCGTTTCTGAACAGCTCTCCGTCTACACCACACCACTGAAAACGCACATCACGTGACCACATATACACACACACACACTGGCATGCACTGCATCGTATGTGGACGTCTGAGCTCCAGGCGGTCATATACCCAGATCAGAGCTGTGCTTGTCGGAGTGTGCACAGATGGCGTAACTGTAGCAAAACTTATGCATTTTCAAACTAAGACCAAGTGTAATCGGGGTCTTAGTTGACTAGAGTTAGTTTATAGTATGCTTTACTGGTGTTGTGTTAGCACTGCAACAAACTGCCCTTGCTTAGCTCAAGCCATTGAAATGAATGGGTTTTTTAGTGTAGCGCAGTGTTTTCTGCATCTGGTGTGAACGCCATTTAACTCTACGCAGTGACTAGGGAAAATGATACTAGCGCACTAAACACTGTTGGACAGTATGGTGCAGCATAGACTTTTTTTTGGTTCAAATTTCAGATTATTTTTCTCTTTTAATCAAAAGCTAAAACGTTATTTTCGTGTATTCATATTTGGCAGTCGATAATTCGGTGCATCCATAAAAAATAGGTGAAAATTACCAACAATGTCAATGAACATGAAATACTTCCACACGTCAAACTTGAAAGACGCCAAAGGATCACAATTTTTTTATTATATAATATGACTTCTGACATCTGTTGCCCTGAACTGAAGTAAAACTTTGGTAAAAACAGAAGAACTCAGAGATTTAGTTAGATTACAGTTAGTTGACAGTATGCTTATTGTAAGTCATTGAAATGAGTGGTTTTTTTTTAGTGTAGGCCAATTCATACTTCACACTACACTGTTGAACAAATCAAATTTCCAGCTATTTTCTCTTTTAAGTCAGAAACCTAAAACATTATTTTTGTGTAATCATTTTTGGCAGGCGAAGATTCGGTGCATCCATTAAAATTAGGTGAAATTTATCATCACTGTAAATACTTCCTGACATCAAACTTGAAAGATGTCAAAGAATCAGTATTTTTTTTACCAAACCACATATGATTTCTGACGTCTGTTGCCCCAGACTGAAGTGGTTAAAAACATAAGGACTCTGAGTGTGGGATTGTGGGATTGGGGGTGGGAAAAAAGAACCGAGGATTGCATGAATAGCTAAGAGGCTTCCTCTTTACTCATGCAATTCATATCAAGGGCACACATAACTTAGAAACTAATTAGCAGGTAATTAGAAAATGTTCAACGCTCTTTCCATGCTGAGAGGCTTAAAGATAATGCAGCATTTCGGCGGGATTGAGGAGCACTGTCGTGGCGAGCTGATATGCTTTATGAAGAATCAACCAAGCATATATCCTGGGAGAGCGGCACCATTGAAATATGCAAAAATTGAATTTGAAAGACAGGGCCGGACAGAGAATAAGTGCTGCTGGAATTTAATTAGAAGCAATTATGGACAAATCCATAGGATTGAGATAAGGGGAAGCGTCTGCTTTTCACACTGAAAGTCTTTGCTGTCAACCTACATTTATGGACAAAAAAAAAAAAAACGGAATTCAAAAGCTGACTCCTATTTATAATTGTGTGAATTTGAGGAAAGAATGCTCACGCTAGATTAGGCTTCTGTGTCTTTTACTCTGACCTCACAGTCTTTCATTTTCTCATTGCAGGGACCACAACCACCAGCAAAAACGTCACATGGGGTAAAGTTTCTCATCACTTTTATCTATGTTTCTGCTATGAACAAATCAATGAAAAGTGTTGTCTGTGATGCATTTCAACATGTGACATGATTTATTTATTTTTTTGTAAATACTGTCCTGAGTTTTCTTAAAATTTAGATAGATAGATAGATAGATGGATGGATGGATGGATGGATGGATGGGTGGGTGGGTGGTTGGGTAGATAGATAGATAGATAGATAGATAGATAGATAGATAGATAGATAGATAGATAGATAGATAGATAGATAGATGATAGATTGATAGATAGATAGATAGATAGATAGATAGATAGATAGATAGATAGATAGATAGATAGATAGATAGATAGATAGATAGATAAATAGACAGATAGATGGATAGATAGATGGATAGATAGATGGATAGATAGATGGATATATAGATGGATATATAGATAGAGTGTAAAGCTCTTGATGGTTTTGTCTACTGAACTTTATTTTGTATTTTATGTTGGAATCAAGTCAGTTGATTGGTTGGGCCATTTTAGAGCTTGATTTTCTTTTTCTGAAACCATCTGAGAGTTTTCTTGGCTGTGTTTTAGGTCATTGTATTGCTGAAATGTCCGCCCTGATTTCATCTTCATATTAATTTACACTGACAAAAAACAGAGGGTTGCTGAATAACTACTGAGAGATTTTGGCTGCTGTCTGGGCCTTCACTGCCTTTCTACACCTCCCTTTCTTTATGTGTTCAATACTTTTACCCCTGTGTCATTTCATTTTTATTAAGCATAACTTATAAACTAATTAAATTTGTTTTCTTTTCATAAATGTATTTATCTGGTTGTTGTCAACATCTGGGGTAAATTTAAGTCAACGGCACCTTTAGAAATATTTTTTTTTTACATAATGTTTTCTGAGAAAAATGGCGACAATGTTCAATATTCATTTCCCCCACTGTATATATGTTAGTAAAAAACAATGCTTTTAGTTTTAGTTTTATTTGAATAATGCTGGCAAGGGTGAATAAACAATGCCTTCATTTTATATAACATTTTTATAGAAATTTTGGGTTAGATATCCCTTTAAAATCCATCATGAATTTCTAAAAAATTAGTAATAAAAAATAAATAATTTCCACCAATCAAGTAAATTTATTTGCATAAGCAGCTTCTCTGACTGGATCATAGCATATCCATGTTGTAGGTCATTCAGGGTGGATGGGCAAACGCAAAAGTCCTGAGATTGAGTCATCCCATTAGACCCATAAAACACAGCAGACTCATAATGAGCATGAATATGCCGACGCACACCCACACATTTACTATAGTGACTTGTTTTGCATATTACAAAAATGGAAGAGTTCATAATGTGTTTTAGACACATGGACTGATTTCAGGTCTTGTTTGTAATGTCAGAACCTCTCTAAATTGTGCAATTTCCCCAACAGATAAGAGATGGGATGAGCCGTTTCATTACGGTAAGGATCTGTTTAATTATTCAATCATTAACAGTGCTTGTTAATGCAGACTCCTCAGCCATGTGCTATAAATGATGTTACAGCACAATCTTCTCCAGAATAACATAAAATAGTTCATGACTGAACTTGAATTCCTTTGTAATGAAAGATTAAACATAACAATATGCACAGACAAATACAGTCTTAAGAGTAATATTGTGAAATACTATTGCAACATTCAACCCAAGCTCATTCTGGAAACGTAGCCCCGCGGACGTTTCTGGAGACCGCGATTTACGTGGCCGGAGGTACGTAAAGGCCGCGTTTGGTTTTTTCGACGGCTCGCCTCCGAGTGGAGGGCTTTCCAGACGCAATCAGTTTGTCCGCCTAGCTCACAGCGTTGCGTCGGCAGAGCGGAGGCCCCGGAGGAGGAGGATGAGCCGGAGCCGGCCGCGGTGGACGACGACCGGGATCGAGTCCGGGGAACGGCGGGTTCCGGAAATCAGGTAAGACGAAAAACGGAATCCGTAAAATAAGGGGAGAACGCGGCGGGATCCGAAAACGTAGACTTTGGTGTCTCCAGAATGTGTCTGTAAAAGTTTCAGCAAATATATCCATCAGATAATTTATTATAGCCTCCCGAATCTGCCCATCTTGGTGAGTACAGTGTAGCTGTTTTTGTAGCCTGTGGCTTTAAATGCAATTGAGCTGCTTCTCCCCGCCCACCGATCCCACGTGCGCATCTGCTTCTCATCATGCGTTACATCAGATAAACAGCAGTCAGTGATTTAAACAGACACGGATGAAGCTGAAATACAGTCAAAAATACCAAGTTAGTTTATTTAATGTATTTGTGGTGAAGTTTATTCAAGCCTTTCTGAAACGACGAGTCTAACACAAATGCCATTTGCAGTACACACACACACACACACACACACACACACAAACACACTCATATATCAGCGTTTACTGACACCATGCAGCTTTGGTGATTATAGTGGTTAAGAATTAGCCATTTTACTGTATTTATTACAAACATGCTTTGTTTTAAATATGTTTTAGACTTATAAAACAAATAAGAATCACAGAGAGTTGGAACAGATACTTTAATTTCTGTTTATGTGCAAAATAATGTTCTGTGGACATGTGTATACATATTATTATAGAAACATGACATCTGTCAATCAATTCCGTGATCGTAAAACCACATTCCTATATTACGTTGCAGTGGGCCTCAAAATGGGAGGGATTTGGATCCTAATTTAACATCAATGAATGTAAAAATCACTCTATCACTCTAATATGACTGTGGACACATTATACTGACAGTTCTGTCAGAACAGCTTACAAATTTTCATTTTCATCATATGTGCCCTTTAAAATGCAAGGTAATGGATAATTTCCACAAGCCTGTTATGACTTGCTTAATGGTCATCTTAAATCCTTGAAAGTTTATAATATTTAGATTTTTTTTTAAATGTATGAACATTTTCTTTTATTATTTCAGCAAATGGGATTGTAAATAAATATTTGTTGTAGTCTCCCCTTCACTGCGCTCTAAATTTTACCAACTATGACGACTTCTGCTACTGAGAAAGCCGGAAATGTGAAAAGGTTCTATTAGGCTGTCACTGGACAACAGTCTGTAGCCATTAAAAAATAAAACTTTAATAATATTAAAGTATTATAATAATAATATTATTATTAAAATATTAGCTAACAATATTGACATTAAAAATACTTTTCAAAACATTAAAAAACTGATTTTATTCCACTCAAACAAAAAAAGAAAAAATAAGACTTTCTCTAGAAGAAACAAAATATACTTTAAAATACTATAAAAATGTCCTTGTTTTGTTAAATATAACGTGAAAAATAATTAAAAAGAACAAAAATTGAAAAGGATAAAAATAAAAAGTCATAATAAAAACAATAATGTTGCCTTCAATATAACTAGGTAGGGCAAGGTTAAGGCAAGTTTATTTATATAGCATATTTCATACACAATGGTAATTCAAAGTGCTTCATATAAACAGGAATAAAAGAGACAAGAATAAAATAATAAAAACAAATAATAAAAATGATTAATAAAGGTTGATTGTTATTATTTTATATATTTATGTATTTATACTCAAATAATGTTAATAAAAGAGAAGTTTTCTAAGTAAAGAATTGTAGTAAATACAAAACATTATGCTACATCTTATTCTTAATATTTATTGATTTATTTTGTTGTGTTTTGATCATTTTTTAAATTCACTTCAACATTATCAGACCTCACAAATATTTTGTATATTTTTCTTATTAACCTTATTAGCTAAGAGCTTTGTAGTTGAAATTAACAGTAACAACAGTGTCTGGCATATGCGTTGATCTTGTGGAACTTATGAAGTAAAGCAAAACTGCGTTAGTTTAATTTTTAGTTTGATGTGGTCGCTGTGTTAATAGTCTGCTGGAGGAGTGAGGGGCAGTGCTGGGTGTATAACAGTAGCACTGGTCACAATCTCCAGTGCTGAGCTTACAGATAACAGCTCTTGACCTGTGAAAGACACTGTTTCAATCACTTCTCATTGTTGTGGATCTTGAGGGCAGCTGATGTTCAGAAAACAGCCTCATTAATGGAGATCTCAAGAAACTCACTTTATAAGAGCCTCAGTTTGTTCACAGACATCGGTTAACAGTGGATTATGCTGGATGATGTTCAAAATTCAACCAGAATTAAGTATTTAGAAAGTGCAAAAAAAAAAAAAAAAAACACACAGAATATTTAGGGATAGAATATACCAATACAATCTCACGGCAATTCGTAACTTTTTGATTTAGTGGCTAATTCGTATGAATTCGTACGATCTAATTCGTACAATTTAGTTCGATTTGCTCATCACCCAATAACGGTTGGGGTTAGGGGTGGGTTTGGATGCCACGCCTCCTTTTTAATATCGTACATTTTCGTAAGACTGAACTCGTACGAATTCGTACGAATTAGCCACTAAACTGCCAATTTGTAAAATACTTACGTTTCCTCATGAGATCAAGCTAAATATACATTACCTTACAAAAGTCTTGTCGTCGATCCCATTTGAAAGAGCAATAAATGATAACTTGGCTTCTAGTTGATCATTTGGAAAAGTGGCAGAAGGTAGATTTTTTCTCTGAAGTATCAGTTGAACTGCATCCCAATTATTGCAAATACTGCAGAAGACCTATTGGAATCTGCTAGGTTAGGGGTTACATTCAGTATGGGGGCGTACGAAAAATCTGCAGAGTGGATGGCAACATCAGCAGCCTGAGGTATCAAGACATTTGTGCTGGCCATTACATTACAAACCACTGGAGAGGGCAATATCTTCAGCAGGATAGCGCTCCTTATCATACTTCAGCCTCCACATTAAAGTTCCTGAAAGCAAAGAAGGTTAAGGTGCTCCAGGATTGGCCAGCCCAGTCCCCAGACATGAACATTACTGAGCATGTCTGGGGTAAAATTAAGGAGGAGGCATTGAAGATGAATCCAAAGGATCCTGATGAACTCTGGGAGTCCTGCAAGAATGCTTTCTTTGTCATTCCAGATGACTTTATTAATCAGATGTTTGAGTCATTGCAGAGATGTATGGATGCAGTCCTCCAAGCTCATGGGAGTCGTACACAATATTAATTATTTTTCCACTGCAGCATGACTTTATATTCTATACTGTACATTATTTCTGTTAAGTGACAAGACTTTTGTCTAAGCAAAGCTAGACCTTACTGTCCTGTTTAAAAAATTAAAAATCAAGACATGATCATATTTTATTTTGGTAAAATAAGCGTAATTGTAATAAAGCGTAAGAGACCTTTACCTTTAATTTAAGCCACTCCTGATACCAAATGATCAACTAGAAGGCAAGTTATTATTTGTTCTTCCTAAAATTTAGATAGGCAACAAAACTTTTGTCAGGTAGTGTATTGTGCGTGTGTGCGCATTTGTGTGTGTGTGTGTGTGTGTGTGTGTGTGTAAAATTTACCTGTAAATATTTACAATGTAAAAAATACATTGTAAATATTTACCTCATCTGAATATAAAATGCCAATAAATAAATAAAAATAATATATATATATATATATATATATATATATATATATATATTTAATGCTTGTTATTATGTTATTACACCATGTTTTTAGATAAACTTATGATCTAACATGATAAAACAATAAAAAAATCTATATTACCTGTGTAGATGTTTGCCACTATTATTCATAGACATCAGAACATATATTTGAATTTGTATTTTATGATCTAATGATTATAGTATATACTTTTATACATCTCGGTTATAACGTATAATGTAGTATATACTTATATATAACACAGGCTTATTATGAAAACGTAGCCCTATAGACGTTTTTGGAGACCACGAATTACGCTGCAGGGAGGTATGATGTCATTCCTCATTCCTTATCAGATGACCGCTTACCTACGTATGGAGGGCCTACCCGCTGTAACAGTTTGTCCCGTTAGCTCGCCATGGATGTCGGCGAAATTGAGACGCAGAGAGAAGTTGACCACTATGATGGAGTTCGGGTCCGATGGAGAACGGTTCCAGAAAGCAAGTAAAACAAAAACAGAATAAAATAAACAAGTAAATAACAGGGTGAGAATATGGTAAAGCATGGTAAAAATCAGACGAGGACTTTTCTTTTTCTGGATTGGCTTTAAAATTGTTGGTTGGGTTTGTGGGTGCGCAGGTCAATTGATAAAATTGGTTGGGTTTTGGGATGGAGGAGGGTGGGTCAGTCGATTGGTCAGTCAGTCAGTCAAACAGTCAGTCGACAGCGGCCTCTGGAACAACAGGCACGAATGGCACTAGTGAGAGAAATTTGAGATCTCAAAAAGCGTACACAGCGGCCTCTGGTGGATTCACAAAAACTGCAAAAAACGTACCCCCTTAGGACGTATTTTGCGGTTTTCAAACACGTATTTACATTTTCAAAATGAGCCTGGGTTGCGTATATAATATCCTATATATAATTCAATATAATTTTGAAAAAAACATCAATGCTTGTTATTTGTCATGTTATGGGATACAATCATACAGGTGAATTGGGTAAGCTAAATTGTCCATATTGTATGAGTTTGTGTGTGAATGTGTGTGTGGAAGTTTCCCAGAGATGGGTTGCGGCTGGATCGAATGAATGGGATACAATCATTATCTGAGAATTCAAAATGTTTTATTTTTTATTATTATTTCCATGCTTTATGTGATTTGTTTGTAAAACTGATCGAAGCACAGCCATGAACTTTACACACTGGAAAAAAATATTCATTAAATCGACTTAACCTATTGCAAGCAATTTATATGGGCTGCATTTGCACAAACAAATTGAGTTAAACATTACTAAATTTAATTTGATTGTTTAAATTCAGCCCATATAAATAGTTTGCAACCTTACCTTAAAACAATTTATTAAATCCAATGAATCCTTTTATGTTCACTGCATGAGCTTTAATCTGACGTGTGTTTTCCCTCTGTTCAGTTATGTTTTGTCATGATGTTGAGTGTATAATATGATGATGTGTTTTCAGATTATTCGTCTCTGCGTCGAGTAGGTCTGGTCATCGCTGCTATACTCTTCGTGATGGGCATCTTGGTGCTTGGCTGTAAGTCACTTCAGCTTCAGTCCTGATTGCTTTTAGAAAGCGTTACCTTTCAAATCCATAAAGCTCTCTCTTCTCTTTTTTCATTCCTCCTCCATCTGAAAGGTGGCAAAGTGAAACGAATGCCACGCTGCCGGATAGGCAAAGAAAGGTGAGAACAAACTCTTTGGTGTGCGAGTGTGTGTGTGTATCTTGTAATCATCACATTGTGGGGACCATGAGTATAGAAATATAAGTAAATGTTGGTCTTTTTTTTAATCCACATGAGAAAAAGGCTTATAAATAATCAGATTGACGTATTTTAGTAAAGACAGCTGCAAAATGTTTTCTGTGAGGGTTGAGGAAAGTTTATAGAAATGTGTGTGCGTTTAGCATAGCATGTTTTTTTACTCCTTGCATGTATTTTACATACTGTAAACAGTTTTGTTCCATGCATTACATTGCAATATTTTGAATTATTGCTATTTTTTAAATAAAACAGCCTTTATGTAATATTACACAAAAGCTAATAAAACAATTAAAAGTATTTCATATTACTTGCGGGAGAAGTCTGCCACTATTATTCTATGATTTATATCAGTGGTCACCAAACTTGTTCCTGGAAGGCCGGTGTCCTGCAGATTTTAGCTCCAACCCTAATCAAACACACCCGAACAAGCCAATCAAGGGCTTACTTGGTATACTTGAAACACCCAGGCTAGTGTGTTGAGGAAAGTTGGAGATAAACCCTGCATTGACACCGGCTCTCCAGGCCTGAGATTGGAGACCCCTGATTTATATATTTAGACATTATAACATGTATTTGAATTTTCATTTACTAATAGTATAATTTCATTTAATGATTAATTTATTAATAATAATAATTAGTTTTAACATATTTTGAATCTTTTAAATAGGACTGCTCATGTTATGCTTTGTGTAAAATATGTCTTACAGTAAATGTACACAGTAACCCATGCTTCGAACTCACTATAACCAACATTTGCTCAAACTAATAGGCAATAGGGTAACATTTGTATACTGCGCCTAGTAAACAGTACATGTTATAAAGTAAATGTCATATGCTTCTCCGTACATAGTCATTGTGTGCTATCTGCATGCGTTTGGCTTGTTTTGTAGCTTTCCGATGTATTTTTTTAACCATTACAGACTCTGTTGTGTTTGGACACCATTAGGGCGATTTTATATAGATCGTTCCTAAGCCCATGATTTCAATCTTGCCACATATGATGAATGCAAAGAGTTTATCCGTAATGTGCTTATTATACACCTGTCTGTGCCATTTTAAAATGAAAATTAAAAAACTGAAGAAAAAAAAAAAACAGCAATTGCATGAGCAGAATGTCAACCGAATTGACTTGTGCAAAAGAGACAACAAAACAGTATATAATTTCAGTAATATAAGAGAGGAATAATGACATGCTTTTCTATGAAAGGGCCTTTTCAAATGGTCTCGGCTATTAAGGCAAAAAAGGCATAATTTTCTTTCACTGCAAAATAGCAACAAGCGGTAACACTTTACCTGGAGAGAAATCGGTTGTTGACGTGGCCTTGCCTCTCATCGAGCTGCTGCGAAAAACCCCCCACTGAAGGCTTTAACGCACCATTTATGTTATATTTAATGGAATATTTAATGCCCCGGGGGCTGTAAAGTTGCACTGTATGACTTTTGGAGTGAAGGTTAAATTTAGTTATCTGGAAGTCATGTAGTGCGCATGCATTGCCACTTCCACTTGACTTATTAAAGTCAGCCTGAAATAAATAGCAGTTATGTTTTTCCTCCCTACATAAAATGGAGGGCAGCACAGTGGCTCAGTAGTTAGCACTGGTTCCAGTCCTGACTGGACCATTTGGCATTTCTGTTTGGAGTCTGCATGTTCTCTTTGGGTTGGCGTGGGTTTCCTCTGGGTGTTCCAGTTTCCCTCACAGTCCAAAGACATGTGCTATAGATGAATTGGGGAAAAAAATTGGCCGTAGTGTACGAGAGTGTGTTCAAATGTAAGAGTGCATGGGTGTTTCCCAGTATTGGATTGCGGTTGGAAGGGCATCCGTTGCATTAGACATACTGTATGCTGGAATAGTTGGTGCTTCATTCTGCTGTGACGACCTCTGATAAATAAGGGACTATGCCCAAGTAAAACCAATGAATAAATAAATTAATCAAGTGGATAGTTGTTTGCTATTGGTGGATCTCATGTAATTGACCATTGTATTTAAACACGTCATCGTAGAAGAGATGTTGTTAAATTTAATTTAAGATTACGCTTAAAACATGACTTTTGCTGCTTTTTCAAATTGTTTATTTAAAATGCAACACAATTCTTAAGGTTTAAGACAATTTAGTTGTTTCATGTTCAGTACACTTAAATTTAATTTAATAAATTTGTGTTGGGACATCATGAAGGCATTGTGTGAAACCCTGCATTTTTTTTACAGTGTATTTATTTATTTTTTTACTGATTAAATTGTGATGTTTGTGTATGAATGATTTATAATAAGCACTTTAATATTTCATAAATAGGTAGGAATTGTTGGTTTTAATTACATGTTGGTTTTAAATGGACTGTTCACCCAGAAATAAAAGTGTGTTATTAATTTACTCACCCATTAAAATCCAATTTATACTCATTTCCGCTTCAATGAAGTCCTGGGAATGCTTTTATTGTAAATATATATATACACATACGTACACACACACAATCTATATTAGCTGTTAATTTACCCCCAGGTCATTCATTTACTACAGTAGGACATTAAAGAGTGATAATTCACAAACTGCAGTTCAACACACACACACACACACACACACACACACACACATACAAAAACCATAATAAAGGCAGAACAAAACTATTAAAATTTTATTTTATAATATATATAATATTATTAAAAGCATTCTTACAGGACATTATTGATCCAAAAATAATTATTAAATTATTAAGTAAATTACATAATTAATTTTTGACAAATGAAAAAAAAAACTAATTTGAAATGTTTTATTACAAATGAAAATACAAAAGAATGTTGTACTTAAACTTTAGTAATTGCAAATGAACAATGTTTTTTGCTATACTAACTGTAGTTTAACTATGATATTTGTAGTAAGCATTTAACCAGGTTTAAGAATATTTTCCAACCTAATGACAACTCAAACCCTGCCCAAATGGAAAAAATAGCTTTTTTCCTTGTCCAATCAGAGATAATTGATGGATTTGCATAAAAGAAAGATTTGCATTTTCTTCTCTGATATATTGTAATACTTGTAAATGCAGTATCCATGTCAAACCATTGACTGTCTTTCTGCACACCAAACAACAAAACTAACACTTTAATATGTGACGTGCCATCGTTTTACTTACTCTCTCACAACGTTTTTTGGATTGCCATGTAACCAATGCGGGATGCCCATTAAGAAATTGTTCAATTTTCATTTTGTATTCACGAGAAAGAAACATTTTGGCCACTACAGCACGTTATTAAAGTAGCCAAAAAAGAATTAAAAAATACAACCCGCAAGAAATTAAAACTGGAAAGATAGTGAGAGGAGAGCCAGGAATCGAACTTGGGACTGCAAATGCATTTTCAAAAAATGTCTAATTGTGCAAAAAAAATTCCATCCACAGAAGTACATCACTGCATATTTTGCTCTACACACCGATTTACGCTAGGTAGGTAAACAGTGTAGGGCAGAACGGGGCACAAAAAAAACTTTTTTGGCCGAATAGTGAACAAATAATGGGGTTAGACAAACCCTATTTTTTATACCAACAACACACAAGCCTATCCTACAAATGAGCACTTAAAGTATGATTGCCAGACCTATGGTTTTTCTGAAGTATTGCCAAAAGTGCCAGGAGTAAAAATGTTACTATTTATCCCAACTGCAGAGCAAGTTGTAACAGTCAGAGGGTTAGCTGTAACACATGATTAAAAAGGCAGATTTCACACAATTAATTTAAATCCAGTTTACTGAAAATTGTAGCTATTTCCTCAGTATTTAGCTCTTATTTTTATTCTACATCGCACATAATGCTTATTTATCTATTGCATAAACACATTTGGATTCATTTGCATTATTTTACAATGCATTTATTTCAATTATTAGCAATAAAATATTTTATTTTCTATTAAAAATATTTTCTATTTGTTAGTTTAATTGGTGTCCAACAGTATGTGGCTTATTTGTAACACCCTGTTCCAACTAACCCCGCTGTGAGGTGTTTTCCTCAAAACAGTCACTGTTTGTTTATTACATTTTTCAAAATGGTTTTATCTTTTATCCTAGAAGACGGTAATCACAACAATATAAGATTTTACTAACATACTTTCACAGATTAAAAAAATAAAATAAAATAAAATAATTTAGTCATTTAGTCATTTATATTGACTAAAATAAATTTTTCTTTATGCTGCAAAAATGGTTTGTCATCCAAATTTCAAATTTAAACTTTTACAATAATTGGCAGGAAGATGTCTGCCGACACTGTAGTGAACACCTTAAAAGCATGCCATGGTTAACCCTGAGTAAATACCTTTAAACCCCTGTTTACATTTTACCCCATGTTACTTTGTGCTCATCGCTCCCCTATATACCAGTTTAAAAGTTCTCACTTAGCTGATGATTGATTATAAATCTTGCTTGGCATGCTGTCCTGGGAGAGAGCCCTGAGCTTATAAGATCCTCGAGCCTGGGGCTCCCTCCTGTTTGCAAGGCGAGAGGGGAGTTCTAGCTCAGGTAGATCTCGAGAACTCTTCTGCTGTTGTAATGAACATATAGTAATTGCTATTAAGAAATAACTACTTAGTAGGAGCATGTCTATGGTGCCGATTTGGATTAGTCAATTAACTTAAGTTGCAGTTTGCAAGAACCAGTGACGTTCTTGCTGTGAGGCAACAGTGCTAACCACTGAGCCACCGCGCCACCCATCTAGGAAAGGAGGAGGAGTAAGGGTTGAAGGGGGGATTCTTCAAAATGAAGATGGCTGTCATATGGAACTTGGGGTATAGGAATCCTCTGATTTAGTGAATCATGAATTGAATAATGCGGGGCAGGCTGCAGGCAATCATAAGCAAGTGATCCTATTGAAATTAGTTTATAAATAAACTTGACAAAATGTATAGAATATGTATAGAAATTAATCAGATTTATAAGTTGACCATAGAGAACACTCGCTGACTAAATAAACAAACAAAAGGCAATTCATGACCCCTCTAGCATATTATTTTTACCATAAGTATAATAACAAGTTTTTGATTGTATAATCACCACGTAAGCTGTCAATTCCAATTTAGATTTCCTGTTCATGACCAATTTTAGCTAATAGCCGAAAAAAAACGGTTGCTTTACTTTTGTTTAAGTAAAACCATGGTTAATTTTCCCTCAAGAGTTGTCCTTCAACAAATTCCTACCTTGTTTTTTGAATCATTCTACTTCAGTAAACTGAAATTGAACTCACAAACTAATCCTTTTCTACCCATTTTTTTCCCCTCCATGCATCTAGTTCATACGAGGTGACCAGAAGTTAACACTCTTCGCCTTGATCAATAAACAGAAGAGCAGCAGGAGAACACAGAGGAGCCAGTCAGACCCGTTTCTACAGCGGTTACAGACTTTCATTTCCCCCCTGTGAGAACACCATCATAAGGACAAGATGGAGAGGTTGTGTGTGTGTGTGTGTTTCTGTTCATTATTTCAGCCTGATTTGCTGGTTTGTCACACTGAGGCGGCGGGGGAATAAGATAAACGCCAGCGGTAACACAACGGCTGGGACTCCGGCAGATCCCAGCGTAATCACGCGCCTCAGACACAAAAATCCCTTCATCCCTCCGCTCTCCTGTTCCAAACCGCTCTGTTTAAGCGTCAAACTTTGTACAACATAGACCTGTACTTGTGTTTTATGATTATTATTTCAATAGTGTGCGTCCTCAGATGTGTCAGTCATCTGGAAGCTCTGTGTGGCTCACCGGCGCCCTCAAGAGGCCTTCAGATTTATTAGTGTTTCTCCCGCGAGGAGGGAATAAAAAAAACAGGGTCTGTTCAGTGATTCATGTGTCCAGTGGCGCCCCCAGAAAAGTTTCTTAGGGGTGGCCAGAAGAGGCCGCTCCAAATCTTGGGGTGGCACACAAAAAAAAAAAAAATGAATTCAGTGTAATGTTATATTTTTGTTTCTGGTAAATGAAATAATGTAGTTTTTATTCATTTAATTAATTCTACTTGAAATATTGCAATTTATTCTTTGAAATAATTCAGCAAGTACATGTGCAAACCAAATAAAAATCTATGTTTATTTTAAAAACACTTTTCATATACTGTATAAATGACTTCTTTTTTTACGTGCCTTTATTGTACATCATACGAGATATGCCATGTCTAAAATTAATGAAGATTAATGAGTTTATTATTCCCAGTGATGGGTTGCAGCTGGAAGGGCATCCGCTGTGTAAAAATGTGCTAGATAAGTTGGCGGTTCATTCTGCTGTGGTGACCCTGGATTAATAAAGGGACTAAGCCGAAAAGAAAATGAATGAAAGAATAATGAGTTTATTAATTACCCAAACAAATGAACAAACTGAACAAAAGGGATTACTATACACACTCACTATACCTAATAATATTATTTATCCATATTGCTTTTTGAACCATTTTATTAATGCAGCTTCTTCTATTGATATACTGTAGCTTAAGGTAAATATTAAATAGCCATTGCTGTCTATCAGGGATGGTAGTGGTGGTTCTAGTTTAAATGACACCCTGGGCGAACCACCCTATACACCCCCACCTCTCTTGAATTGTTAGATTTGTTATTCAATAAATATAACAATTTATTTATATTTATTCTAAATAAATACAATTAATATTAATATACAATTATTCTAAATAAATAACAGAAATCAGTCCTAAATATTACTGGAAAACAACAACTGGAGTGATATGCCAACATCACTTAAGAAACCTTTTGCATGAAAATTAATTATGACAATTCTAAAGAATACAAAAAATGTATTATAGAATTATCTGTGGTCTTAGACCAGATCATGGCTGAGAAATCATGTTATGAAGTCTTACCTCCCTGACTCATTATCCCTCCTTTCTGCTTTAAAGGCATGCTTAGTGAAAGTAAAATCATCATCATCATCATCATCATCATTATATTATATAAACTTTAAACGACTTTCAAAACTCGCTGCGTGCCGACACCTCTGCACAAAAGGCTGTTACTCCGGTTTCACGGCGCATGAGCGGTGCCTATTATGTCGGCGTGCATGCAAACAACCAACCGGGATTCACACAGGAGTGCGTGAGGCGCGCGGGAATGGTTTTCCGCGCGCATGCGTCAGTTTGCTTTCACCAGCATTGAACCAGAGGGGGAGAGCTACGTCAGTAACACCAACAATAATTTAGTGACTGCATTTTATTTATTTATTTATGTATTTATTTATTTATCTAAATATTGGGAATTTATAAGTTCATTTAAATCAATAATGTCAACCGCAAAATTATATTGGGGTGGCCAAAGGGGTGGCCACAGGGGTGGCCAGAGTTTACCGAGGGGTGGCCGTGGCCACCCCTGGCCACCCCTTGGAGGCGCCCCTGCATGTGTCTGAATTCAGCGTCTTCATCTTGTCCTTGTGAATATACATAGTTTTATCTGTGTGTGTTACGACTGAGTGTAAAGTAAGCGAAGTTTCATGTTACTTATCTCGCTCGAGCATCACCGGCTTGTCAAAAGTGGAAAATGGCTTTATGCTGATGTCAGTGGAAAAAATGAAAATATCAAGAGCATCTCTGTGTGGCATTTGCCATTAGCATACGTGCTCAGAAAGCTGTTGTGAATTGAAAACAGTTTGTTTTTTTGTTCTTGCATAAGACATGATTTGTTGCAGAATATGCTCTTTTATAAACACACAAACTGTAGTCTATTAGATAAAAAAGAGAAATGGGAAATATTGTACTAGCAGGTACACCACAGGAAAATACAAGAAATACTAACAATAAAATAAGTTTAAATATGAAATATAAGTGTAATTAAAATAAAATAAAACTAAACAAAAAATAAAGAATAAAACTATGTGCATATATATTTTTCATTAATATATTATCTAAATTATTTATAATATTAACATGGTGGCTCAGTGGTTAGCACTGTCAGTTGTCATTTTTCTCTGGAGTTTGCATGTTCTCCCTGTGTTCTTGTGAGTTTCCTCCGAGTGCTCCGGTTTCCCCTACAGTCCAAAGACATGCGCTATAGGTGAATTGAATAAACTAAATTGACACTAGTGTATGTGTGTAAATGATTGTGTATGGGTGTTTCCCAGTGCTGGGTTGCAGCTGGAAGGGCATCCGCTGTGTAAAACATGCTGGATAAGTTGTCAGTTCATTCTGCTGGGGTGATACCTGACGAATCAGCTGAAGGGCTAAATACTAGGGTAGGGTACATAGGCAAATTTTTGTATAACGGTAAATTTTTTTAATAAAATTTTTGTATAAACCTTTAAATGTTTTATTATTATTATTATTAAAAAATGCTTTTATCTTAGCCAAAATAAAGCAAATAAGACTTTCTCCAGAAGAAAAACTATTATCGTAAATAGTGTGAAATTGCCTTTTCTCCAATTTGAGAAATATTTTTTAAAAAGAACAAAAAAAATAAAGGTGGTTTAATAATTCTGACTTCAACTGATCTAGATTTGGTTTCAGTGCTGATTAATCTAATGTATATACATATATATAAATATATATAATATTGTAAAGCCTCCTATAGAAAATGCAAATTTATATGAGAGATTTGTTGAGCGTATGTTGAGCACTGTATGTGTATGTATGTGTACATACATATAGATATACATATAGATATACATACATATACATATATATATATATAGAGAGAGAGAGAGAGAGAGAGAGAGAGAGAGCATTATCATTGAGGAATGAGGAAACGCATTACAAGCATCTTGAGTTACATAATAGTATTGCTTTTCTAAGAAATGAGTAAAGTACCGCATTACTTTTACAAAATTAGTAATATTTGAGTTACTTTTTAGTTTAATTTACTTTTAAAAAATAAATAGCTGAATTAAAATGACACACGCAATGAGAGAAAGCAGGAACAGACAGAAATGAAAATGGCAGGGCCTTGTATTTCTGCGATGGAAAATTTTCATAGATTTGAACAAATGGAAGAAAAGGAAAAGAAATTATCTGAATAGACAATCATTTTGCTTTTTAATATGACAAAAAACGAATCAAACTCATTGCTTTAAAATTGTATTATTCTGTATATACAGTTAGTAATTGTACAATTTTTATTTTATTTTATTTTTTTTAAGAAAAAAGAAGATTGTTGTTAATTGCAGAGCTCCTCTATTTTAAAAAAGAAGGAGTTCTGAAAGAGATCAAGCCTCAGCCAGGTCAGAAAAAGTAACGCTAAAATTAACTAAGAAGCGTAACTAGTTACTTTTTTGGGGAGTAACTCAATATTGTAATGCATGACTTTTTAAAGTTACTTTATCCAACATTTTGTGTGTGTGTGTGTGTGTGGGGGGGGGGGGTGTGTATGTCAGTAGTTAAGACAAACACACTGAAGTATTTATTAAAATTAATCAAAGGTCACTAAAGTATAGCTGAAATAAAATGTAAATTAGATAGAAAAAAAGTTTTTAAAAAGTATGAAACTAATGACAAACACCAAAAGTAATTATCATTATGAGAACATTATGATGTTAATAATTCATTTGAGAAAAAAAAAAACATTTACTGTACAACTGTTCACAAATATCCCACTTTGAGTGATATGTTCAGCAGGTATGACCAAATTTGAATTTTAAAATCAAATCAAATGAAAACTATTTAATCTTGATATTATTTTCCACATTGATCAAACACGCACACACTAGCCCAGGTGTTGAGAACAATTGTATTTATTTAAAATATGTCTCATTCAACAAATATGGCAGGTCGTCTCATAAAATATATACAGCAACAGGCATAATCTTTGAAACTTCAGTAGAAATCACACAAATATCCATTAGTAATGATGAGAATCATGAGGAAGTCAATATTAGCAATGATCCTGACTGCATATTCTCATGTACTGAGAGTTTAGTATATTACACTGAGCAAGTTATGTATATGATTTATTATCCAGTGACATCTGACGTTAATACAAAGTAAAACACTACAGATAATATCAAAAAAGAAAATATAAATGTTCAATCTCTTTCATTCCTTACAAACTGTTCATAAAACTCTTTTAAGTATTGTTAACAAGAATACCTTACATAAGGTAAAAGAAAAAAGCGCTGATGTCAGAACCGCCTGTCATTGAAAGGAAATACAATGCAATCTCCTGTGATTTTTCATCTTTTAAAGGCGGCTGCGATTGACCTTCAGAAAGAAAACCTACATCTGCATTTTTTCTGCTCCTTTCTCACATCAACTTTAAAGTGAAAATGGTAACTGAAATTAGAATCTGTGAGCTGAAGGTTATCTTGGCTTGTGGAGTTTCTTAAATGAAAAAATATTAGTGCGCAAAGATTGATCGCAGTTAATCACATCTAAAGAAAAGTTGGCTTTGGCATTAGATATGTGTATGTATGCGTGTGTGTGTATGTGTTTTATATACACTAAAAATATTGCTACCTTACATTACATTTAAGTTGAATTTAAATTTTCTAGTCATTTCAACTTACATCCATCAAACTGACTAAAAATATTAAGTTAAGCTTTGTAAATGTTTAACAATGTTGTTGAAGTCGGAGTAATTTATTAAAATTAGTTCAAGCAAAAAAAAAAAAAAATGTCTTGAATTTTTGTTCCTAAAGTTTTTACATATTTTACACACATATTAATACAAAACTATCTTACAGCAATTCGTAACTTTTTTTATTTAGTGGCTAAATCGTTTGACTTTGTACAATTTCATTCCTACAATTTAGCATGATTTGCCAGCGCTATCTTACAGCAATTGGTAACTTTTTGATTTAGTTGCTAATTTGTATGAACTCATAATATCTCATTCATACAATTAAGTATGATTTGCTCATC